TGAGCACTGTGCTACGGAAGTATCAAAAGACAAATTTCTATATATATATATATATTTATATATATATATAATAAAATAGAATATAGACTAGAAATGAGACATGTTCTCTGTTACTCCGAGTTTCGTGCTTGCGCACTCATCAGACAGACTATAATTAAGAATATTCCTGTTACCGCGGTATAAATATACAAAAGGTGTGATAAAGTTAGACAAAAGAAATTTTATTTAATACAGGTTAATTAGTTAGGTGGAGTTCTATTGTTCATGAGGTAAAACTTGTTTTCGCTCGATCTGTTAATCTACTGAGCCTACTAAATTGGTTTTTGAAAATAGCCTTATTCCAGATTTCTAGTTTCTGTATTATAACCAAAATTTTACTCGTAATAAATAGCATAACAGCACTAAAGAAGATAAAAGAAATCTCTAAATTTTGATTAACGTAAAACGAATATTTAATCTTTTCGTAAGAAGTAAAGCAACATAAAAGTCAAACCAGTATTAGATCTTGGGGATATTTAATGCTAAAAAGTAGCTAATATTCTTTCAAGTCAATTAACAACGATTTCGTTCTTTTTCTGCTTTGTTCATCTTAAAGCTATTTGCTGCAGATCATCAGTTTTATATAAAATGCCTTTTTTACAATAAAGAAGCATCAATGAATTGACCATTTCATCTTTTGGTCGTTATGGAGGGAAATTTTTTACAATTTTCAAAGGGCTAAATGTTCTTTGTTTTTTGGAACTGGATAGGGTGATCTGAGGGCAAGTGCATGTGCCCAATTCGTAAGATAAAGCACTCTTCTTTGATCTAATACTTCTGCTGTCGCTTCTTTGATCAATGTTTTGTGGTTTCTCATCAGCTTTATCATAGCAATTTATGATAAGATTTAAGGAGGTCTACAAAGTGCAGGGAAGCTTAGCATACACTCGTTAAGAAGCTTTGAAAACTTGCAATGATAGATTTTTAATGTTTTAAATGAATTGGCTACGTAGTTTTTTGAAAAGATTCCCATTTTCAATTGCTCTGATCAATAAAGGGTATGATTTCTTCAAAACTGCAGGCTCAATCAATACTGATAGTAAAATTTAAACTTCTTATCTAGAAATTCACCTTATAATAATAATATCATAATACATCTTGCCAAATCTCCGTTTCGGAACAGTTACTATACCACTAACACAGAATTGCCAGGAAAGACGTCATTTGCAGTAAAATACCACAGGCTAATTTTCACTTAGGTTGGAAAAAGTTCAACCAATCTCTCGATTTCTATCAGGCCCTTTGCGTTGCTTTTTAGAATTTGTTCCATTCCTGGGAGGTGTCTTTTGAATTTTTCGCATTGCCATGAATGTTCTATGTTTTTTCATGTAATCCACACCTTCTGCAACTTATACTATCGTTGTTTCCTTTGTAATTAGCTTTTAAATCGGTCATGTTTAGTTTCAATTCTAGTAACATTGGTCCTTCTATTCCAAGATTGCCTTTCTTAATGAACCTCATCTTTGTTTTATTGCTATTCTTAACTTGCTGCTCTATCTTCTTTATGATTTTGCTTTTTACTATTTTTTCCAATCTTTCCTTGATAGATCTTAAATTTGTTTTTCTAAGTATTGCCTTGATAGGGTGTTGATTTTAATATTGAAGTGTTTAGGGTTATCGCATCTTTTTGTCTATTTTCTAGAATTTTTAAGATTTTTTTGTTCATATTAGTCCATGTTTCACACCCATATAAGATTTTACGGATAAGTACACTTTCTATCAATTTTATGCTTATTTCCATGCTTTGTTTTTTGAATGCTGGTTGGCTGATTAAGAATTTGATTTCAATAATAATTGCCTTTGTTGAATTTTTCCTGCTATTAATGCATTCCTCTACTGTTCCTCTGTTATTTTTTATATCTCCTAGGTAATTATATTCGCTCACCTCTTTTAGGGTTGTCCATTTAACTTTAGTTTCTTACTTTGTTCTTTATTCTGTTTGTTTTTAAAATTCATTATCATTCTTTCACTTTTATCAAGGTTAAAGTTTAGTAGATTTTGTTTTTGAAATTCTTCTGCTATGTTCAGCGTTTGTTGCATTTTCTCTACTGAAAAAGATGCAAACATAATATCATCTTGATACAACAGAGGTGGGATAACCATCCTTCCATATCGTATTCCTAGTCTCTTTTTAATTATAGGTTACATTCCTTTATCAATGTGATTTGCACTAATTGAGGCTGCTAATATTGTGCCTTGTTTAAGAGTTTCGCCTATTTCAATGTCCTGGGTTATTCCATATGGTGTATTTATTTGCACACAGCCTTCTTTGTTCAATTCATAGATGCTTTTTAGGTATTTACCTTTCACTCCACTTTTATATAAATCTAGTAAACATGATTTCAAACATAATTTGTCAAAAGATTTTTCTAAATCAAGGAGCACTAAGTTAATATCACATTTAATGTATTTGTAGTAATCAATCATTGCCACATAACTAGGCGATCTAGGGTTGATCTTCCCTTTCTCCCACCAGCAACAGCCTCTGAAAAGCCATTGTCTATGTTTTCCCTAAGCCTATCTAGTATCAACTTTTCAAAGATTTTGCTGATATTGATAGTTAGAAATATTCCTCGCCAGTTTTTTAATTGTCTCCTATTACCTTTTCTCTTGTATATTGTTTTAACTATTAATTTTTTCCACGTTTTTGGTGTAACACCCTTTTCAAATGCAATATTTATAATTTTCAAAATTGATGTTCTTAGTTTCTCCCCACAATTCATATAGAATTCATTACACATAATATCTAACCCTGGACTTTTCTTTGTTGTTAAGCTATTTAAAACATTTTGGAGTTCCCATTTCATGAATGGTGCATTCTCTGGGGACCTACTATCACCTTGTCTTCTTACAATGTTTTTTAACAGGATTGTTTTTAGCCTTACATGTTTCTTGTATTTATCTTCTGGTTTCCTGCTTGATAATAGTTTCTTGAAATAGCATTCATGCACTTTAAGGATTTCAATAGTGTCTGTAAGTTCTTTCCCATTTTCATTTAGAATTGATGTTGGGTACTCAGTTTTCTTACCAAGTATATCTGCCCTTACTTTATAAAACTCGGCACTATTTACTTTAAATTTCTTAATTTTATCCATATTTGTTTTAGGCTTTTTCAATTTTTCTATATTAGTTTTTTCAATGATTTTTTTGTTAATTGTCTTGATTCTTATTTATGTGACATCCCTATTCATTATATCCCCATCATTTATATATGTTGTTAGTTTCTTCTTTAATTTTATTTTTTTCATTTTCAAATCCGTGTGCTTTCTATCAATATAGTTATTATTATTTTTTATAGCCTTAAACCTTTTTTTGAAACATTTTTCCATTTCAATGTTAAGGTTTTTTCCCACTTTATAGGTGAAGTTCCGTTTGACTTCATTTTTACTGGTGCCCTTAAGGGCCCAGGCCCCGTTTCCCCAGCTGCCCCCCTTATATTCGGGGGTCTTGAAGGTATCCTAAATCGTAATTAGGAGGCTTAAGAATTCATACCTTTGTAATGGAAACCTGTATCTACAATCAATTTTAACGTTCGCCATCTGTAGCTTCAGCATGCCGTATTTCTGCAGTGGATAGACTTGATAGTGGATAGTGGATAGACCTTGCCTGTTCAAAATACTTCAACTTAACTTAACCCCTGTCAAAAAGAAAATAAAACGGTGTAATGGTGCAATTTGAGATCCAGGGCTTCACATTTAAAAACGATTAGAAGATGTGTCTGCTACAGAGTTCGAATTTTAATAAGGTCTAAGATTTTAACATTTAAAATCTCAAATTCCTTAAGCTTTAAAATTCACATATTTGGCCATTAGAGTTAGAAAAAATTCTAAGTGAACTTTCAAGTTTTCCAACTGTAATTGGATTTTCCAACCTTTGGGGGGGGGGGGGGCGTCACGCTTCATTCTATAATGTAAGTTCTCTCTATTAGTAACCATTTACATTATATGACTTAACTCAGCTATAGTTAAAGCAAACGGTATCTCTTCAATTTTAGTTCATACCAATCAAAATTCACCAACCAGTAGTGCAGTTCATGGGCTTTGACGCAGGTTGGAAAGTGAGGAGGCCAAGGGAAAATTTAGCAATCATAACAAAATATTTTGAATAAAGCTCTATTGTTTGCCGAAAGTGGGGGGGGGGGCAGGCCCTCGTCAGAGGCCCTGCAGTTTCCTCCGGTGTTGCTCCATCCATAACAGTAGTAGACAAAAATGACAGATCCCGAAGAAAATCAAACTGGGAAAATTAGGGATCCACACCCTTTTGAACGCCAGAAAACTCTCTTTTCTAAAGATATTTTTGGCTATTGAGGAGGGGGCGCCTGCCCCCTCTTTCTTCCACCTCGCTAGGCCACTGCATAGTATCTTTTTTTCATTTTTTTTTCATTCACGCCCTACTTTTTGTGGTGTCACATCAGTTTCTTTTCTTTAATTTTCTATTGATAAAGATCGTTTAACCCAATATCTTGATAAAACCTGTAAATTTCCTTACAGCGGGAAATGCCCCTCCCTTTGGCCATTGCCCCCACATTTTGGCATAATAACCGAGATTTTTCCGAAATAATTTGTTATGGGTGTTAAATTTTATCTTGGCCCCTCCACTTTTCAACCTGTGTCGGAGCCCATGGTACTGCAAGGCCCTCAAAGCGTATTGTTTTATTTTCACTTTAATTTAGATTTGTTTCATTTCATTTTAATCTTAAAAATATTTCCGTTGGAATAAAGTTGAGTTTAGTAAAAATTGTAACTGCAATCCAATAGCACCTTCATAAAAAGGCTGTAATATGCCTTAAACATTGCAAGATATTCACACAATAATAGTCTTTATAGTGAAAACTACTTAAGTTTAAAATATAAGGACTGGATCGACGGGGCTAAATTCATTTCCGAATTATGTTGGTTTTATGTGCATATGTTCTGAGGCAAGTTGGAAATTGAGGACCGATGGCAGATTAAGGACTCTTAACAAGTGAGGACCCGCCTGTGTTATGTAACACAAAAAGAATCAAAACACCAAAGCGGAAGCTAGCCGGACGCATTTTTCCTAGAATTGGCCAAAACAGCGATGTTGATGAACCTGCTCTAGAGTCGAGAATGAATTTCGCAAATTTTGGGTTGCTTATACATGGAGTGTTTGTCATCAATCTTGCTATATCAACCAGGAGTCAAGGTAAGCAGTTCATTTTGCAATTACGGATGGAATGCGTGTAAATCTAGACGGAAATACCGAAAGCAAAAGGCAAACGTGCAACTAAAGCCATTCTCGTAGATTGAAATATATTACCATTGCTCCAGTCATCAAAGTATGGCTTTTTCAGCGAGATATAACTTAAAGTGTGCAGCAAGAGTGCAACTTCAAATCTCGTGTAAACTTTTAGTTTCCACCCACGTAGTTAACGTTGTTATTACGTTGTATGAAAGTCGGTTTCGGTTTGCTTGAATATCAAGTCTTTATCCTAAGATCATTTGACTTATGGAAAATGAAATAGTTTAGTAAGTTAAACAAATTTTGATGCTACGTCCTTGGTGCCACGCATTCTGGTGCCATGCATCCGTAATGACCACTCCTCCTTTGAGTACTCACTGTTCAACGACGAAACTAATATGAAAACAAAAATTAGGAAGTTACCGAGTATAAAGTTCTAATCATCAGAGGCGAAAATTTGTTGGAATGTCCGTTGGCTTTCAAAATGTTAAATCCTATGTACAGAGTCGTTCACGAGAAAAGAGGCTGTAGAATGAGAACCTACATCCTCTTCCAGTAAAAACCATCCTAAAACCCATTAAGTCCAAAAAACGCTCACTTTTCTACTCTATTTCTACTCGTACTCCCAAACCGTTAAAAGACTAGAGCACTCAACGTCGATCTTTGTTTCTTACAAAATAAATTAGGGCACTTTCTATCGTAAGCCTTTTATCAGAGCATATGGGTATACTGGTTAACATGAATATACTGGTGATACTGGTTAACAAAATCAATCTGATCTACATTAAAAGCAAAGCAAGCTTCTTCTGTTTGCAAAGAAATCGTTTCTAATCAACAAATAAATGAAAATAATTATTTTACCGATCTGTCAATAAATGCTTGATGATTTGTAGTAAAGCTAACATAAGTGTTCAGAACAAGATCTTTCAAGACTGCAACTCCAACTTTCACGTTTAATGCGAACATAAGGCTAATTTTTAATAAATTAAATAAATACTTAATAAAACAACACACCCGGTTTACCATTCTCAGAATGTAGATTTAAGAGGAAGTAGAAAAATAAAAGAAGGCCGTCTGAAAGCATGAGCTTCAAAAAGAAGGTACTCATTTTATTGCCTTCTTTTTCTTTCGCATTCTTCTTCTTATTCTCCTTTTTCTTCTTCTTCTTTTTCTTCTTCTTCTTCTTCTTCTTTTTCTTTTTCTTCTTCTTCTTCTTCCTCTTCTTCTTTATCTTTACATGCTTCCAACTTTACTTCTTTCTCTTTGTCTTCTTCTCTCTCTACTTCCTTATTTTTCGTGTTCTTCTTTGCCTTCCTTTCCTCTTCTACCTCGTCTTCTCCTTCCTCTTCTTTCTTCTTATAACATCTGTTCCCATTTTGGCAGAGTTGGTGGCCGGAATTCTTTTCAATGAATGTTTTTCCAAAAGTTGGTTCCTCCACGAAATTGTAATTATCGGAGAATAAAGAAGGCATACGAAAATGAATAAGGCAACAAAACATCTTTACATACCTGATAGATAACAACTTTTATAATAATGATAATGATTTTTAACTTGTGATTTTTACAGATGCATCATAGATTAAGCATTTCTTAATGGCAAATGTTATGAGCCATAATTTGTTATTTTGTTATTTCTGTTGTCATCTTCGTAAGCTGGTTTTTTCTATTTATCGACCTCAAATTCATAAGAGTCTAGCGCAAATATAGACCTGTGTAAGTAACTCATAATTGATCACGTTTTATTTGCACTTTCTTTTAATTCTTACTTCACAGACATATCTATTTATTATTATTAAATTATCGTTATCGATTTAGTCAGAATTGTCTGCTAAAAGTAGCTTTTTTACAGCTAATTAAAGCCTGCTACAAAAGTCTGCAATGAATAAACAATGCAAATAGATAATTAAATATATATGTAATAACATAGAAAGAGGGAGATAACATTTGTTTACAATATTATTACAGTTAATTATAGCTTTTCCAGCTTCTTGGATTTTTCAATCAATGAAACCTACTTGTGTCATATAGTTATTATATGTTTTACATAACGAGGGACTGATCTAAAATTGATTTTTCAGTTTGCAATGTCACTGACACAAGTCGTCTCTACTGTGGATGGCAGGGCATAAATGAAACCATATGCACAACAAGAAACGGGTGTTGCTGGAAGTCTTCAACAACTGGTGGGAGTATTCCTTGGTGCTTTTACGATTCAAGTGAGTATCGTTATGCATAGTTAACCAGCTTACAAAATTTGGACTGCCAAGGCCAGTTTCGGGGGGTCACTCTATAAAAGTGTAATAGGAAAGCCAGGGGACAGCTAGCATTACAAGGTTTAAAGCAGCATCATAGAACTTGCTCAACGCCTGAAAAAATTACTGCCCAAAATTCATTATCTTGCTGCCATTGTTTTCTATGTCATCAACTTACTCTTTTGACAAAGATCTACTTGCAGCGTTGAAAACATCACATTGGCTTTTTTCAAGAAGTATTGTGGAAATCACTCCACACTATATTTCTCCATAAGTAAGAACCACTGATGGTATTGACTTATAAAAGGTAGGAAGCTAAAGACAGAAAAATAGTCAAGCAACTCGTTTTTTTCAGGTCAACTCTTCGAAATTTACGAAGGTATTTTCGTAGGACAAATATAAAAAGGGGTAGAAAAAAAGTAATTTGAGACACCATAGAGCTCTTTGTTTCAGATACTTTAAAATATATAACGTCAAAATAATGATCGAAAGTCAGGGGCAGCGCCAAGAAATTCAAGGGGGGGGGCTCGAGTTGATAGCTTTATTAAACTAAAAAACCATTATTTGAAAAACGCACTAGAATGCTTCAGGATATTTTCTGCCTACGATTTTATGGGGCAGTTGTTATGCTAACAGTTCATTGGAAGGGGCCAGCGATAACTTGTTGGAGTCCCTAGGTTTATCCCAAAGAAAAGGCTTCCTTGCGAGCGAAGCGAGCAGATAATTTTGGCGACCACACCCTTTAGATAAGCTCAAAATATATTTTGGAATGTTTCTTGCAGTAATTTTCTTGCAATAATTTAAACCATTTTGCTACCTTTGAGGCATGGTTTTAGTACGATTGATTAATTCCAGTCTTACAATGGAATTCATTACTTTATAAGGCCCCAGAGACCTGTTATTTCTTGGAAATTAAGCAATAACTGGATTTATCGCACTTTTCTCTTCTTTTATCTCTTTTCTTTTATTCTTTTCATTTTCTTAAAGAAGCTTTTTGCAAAAAAGTGGGCTAAAAACCTCCAGCCCCCCCCCCCC